TGCGCCTCTCGCAGCGCGCGCGTGTGCCAAGCGAAGGTACCCGTCTGGCCGGCGGGCCGACGGACGGTTATCACCTGAGCCGACGCGTGGAGCAGATTGACGTCTTCCTGAGCCGCCAGCCAAGAAGCCGTAAAGGAAGACCCCTAAACCCTAAACCCTAAACCCTAAACCCTAAACCCTAAACCCTAAACCCTAAACCCTAAACCCTAAACCCTAAACCCTAAACCCTAAACCCTAAACCCTAAACCCTAAATCCGAAACCCTAAGCCCCTAAACCCTAAACCCCAAACCCTGCGCCTTCAAGCGTGGTGGCGGCACGAGGTCACGACTGGCAGACGCCTCGCTGGGCGAAGACCCTTGCACTGCTCATGCACTTCAATGGAGCCTCGGGCTCCTTTTGTAGCTTAGGGTTTAGGGTTTGGGGTTTAGGGTTTAGGGTGCCTCGGGCTCGCTTTGTAGCTTAGGGTTGAGGCTTAGAGGGTTTAGGGCCTTTTAGGGTATACTTTAAGGTTTAGGTCCAAAGTTTGGGGTTTAGGGTTTCGGGCCAAAGGGCCAAAGCTTAGGGTTAAAGGTGTAGGGTTCAGCGTTCAGGGTTGTAGGTAGTAGGGTTCGGGGGCGCTGGGGGGTAGGGCTTGGTAGGGTTCAAGCTTAGGGTGGTAGGATTTGGGGTGGTAGGCTTTCAGGTGTTAGGATTGAGGTGTTGGGCTGTTGCGTATTTGGGCTTAGGATTGAGGGGTTCGGGGGTTTCCAGGTTGAAGGGTCAAGGTTATGGGGTTGAGAGCTCTAGGAAACCCCAAAACCGCTTTTGCCACCTTCGGAGGCTTGTCCTCCAGACATCCTATAGGCCCTTAAGCCCGAAACCCTGAATCCCGAAGCCCGAAACCCTGACACCCCGAAACCCCAAAAAACTCTAAACACGAAACCCTAAACCCTAAACCCGAAACCCTAAACCCTAAACCCTAAACCCCAAACCCTAAACCCTAAACCCTAGCCCCTAAACCCTAAACCCTAAACCCTAAACCCTAAATCCTAAACCCCACACCCTACACCCTACACCCTACACCCTAGACCCTAAACCCGAAACCCTAAGCCCTAAGCCCTAAATCCTAAACCCAAACCCTGAGAAGCCCTAAGCCCAGCGCCCCAATCGCGCCTTTCTTCCTAAGGTGTGCCGGCCGCCATTGCTAGTTTCTGCACTTGCGCCGTCTCGTGTGCTCTCATTGCCCCTTCGGCTGAGGGTTTCGGGTTTAGGATGGCCCACAGGGTTTTGGGTTAGGGTGTGGTAGGTTTCGGGTCCTCAGCCGTATGCCCTAAGCGCTAGACTCTTAAGCCCGAGATCTTGGCTGCCTTAGCCCTTAAAGACCCAAACTGCAAAAACCTAGACCGTGAACCTGCAACCCTTGGCCCTAGACCCTGAATCTTAAACTGAACCCCAAAACCCTAACCCAACCCTAAACCCTAGACCCTGAACCCCAAATTAGGGTTTAGGGTTTAGGGCTAGGGTTTAGGCCTTCTGGGTCCCTCAACTGGAGAGCCGGGGGTGCGAGGCTCTCGACGCTCTGCCGGGCGGCTGGCCGGTTGCAACCGCTTGCACCTACATCGCCTTCTGGTTCGTCCCTGGATACCTTTATTGCTCAAACCTTTTGGGAGTTTAGGGTTTTGGATTTAGGGTTTAGGGTTTAGGGTTTAGGGTTCAGGATTTAGGGTTCGCAAACTTGCAGGTTTTCCTCGCCTGGCAGAGCATCCGCCGCTGCTGCGGCCACCAGACGATGGTCTTCCTCGACAGCCTGTGCATCGCCCAGCACGACCAGGAGTGGGGGAGGGGGGAGGTTCGGGCCCAGGATATGGGGTTTAGGGTTTAGGGCTTGGGGTTTAGGGTTCAGGGTTTGGGGTTTAGGGTTTAGGGCTTGGGGTTCAGTATCTCAGAGTTCAAGCATTCACTAGGGTTAGCAGCTCTTGTCAAGCGCCCGAAAAGTACCGACCCACCCAGAGAATCCCATACTATTAAGATAATACAAAGTTTCACACGCAACCCAAACTCTTAGCCCCAATGAAACCCTACGAACGCGTCCCTGAACCTTAAACCCGAACCTTCGAACCCTAAGCCCTGAGACTGAACCCCAAACCCTACATATTTATATATCTTGTATGATAGAGTGGTTTAGGGTTTGGGGTTCGGGTTTAGGGTTTAGGGTTTGGGGTTTTAGGGTTTGGGGTCCCGGGTTTCGAGGCGCCCGGGAAGAGCCCCGATGCCCCCAAAAGCCTAAAGCCTCAAAAAAAAAGCACAACCCAAAACCCTTCATGGCCCGGGATGGCCCTAGACAACCCGACGGCCTAAACCCTAAATCCAAGCCCCTAAACCCTAAACCCTAAACACCAAAACCCCCGAAGCCCAAACCCTCAAAGCCCAGGGCCTCAAGAAGACTAAGAGGAGCATCCTCAACCCTAAGCCCGAAACCCTAAACCCTAAGCCCTAAACCCTAAACCCTAAGCCCTAAGCCCTAAACCCTAAACCCTAAACCCTAAACCCCAAACCCCAAACCCCAAACCTGAAGCCCTCAAAGGACCTCAAGAAGAGGGGCATCCTACCCCTAAACCCTAAACCCTAAACCCTAAACCCCAAACCACAAAGGACCTCAAGAAGAGGGGCATCCTCGGCTTAGCGGGCTTGGTCTCGAAGTCTCAGTCTCTTCTCATCCTCTGGTCGCCGAGGTACTGCACCAGGTGCGCCTGCAGTCACGCGAAACCTCCTACTTAACCCTAAACCCTAAACCCTAAACCCTAAACCCGAAACCCTAAACCCTACACCCTAAACCCTAAACCCTAAACCCTAAACCCTAAACCCTAAACCCTAAACCCTAAACCCTAAACCCTAAACCCTAAACCCTAAACCCTAAACCCTAAACCCTAAACCCTAAACCCTAAACCCTAAACCCTAAACCCTAAACCCCTAAACCCTAAACCCTAAACCCTAAACCCTGAACCCTAAACCCCTAAACCAACACATCCCAGAGGCTGTGGTGTGCCTTTGAGCTCGCGTGCTTCTTGAAGGATGACCCCTCAAAATCGAGGCGGGGTTTGTTTAGGGTAAATTAGGGTTTAGGGTTTAGGGTTTAGGGTTTAGGGCTTAGGGCTTAGGGCTTAGGGTTTGGGGTTTGGGGTTTAGGGTTTGGTGATTTAGGGCTTCAGGGATTTCAGGGTTTAGCGTTTAGGGGTCTAGGGTTTAGGGTTTAATCCGGGTTTAGGGTTTAGGGGTTTAGGGGTTTAGGGTTTAGGGGTTAGGAGTTTAGGTTTTAGGATTTTGGGGGCTTCGGGCTGTTGGGATTCAGGACTTAGGCGGGGGGGGGGGGGGGGGCAGCGGCGTGCTTGACACGTGAGGTTGACGCCTGCCCCAAGTTGGGTTCGGGTGTAAGGGCGCTTCGTCCAAGCCATAGAGTGCATGACTTTAGGTTTAGGGCTTAGGGTTTAGGGTTTTAGGGTTATAGGGGTTTAGGGTGTAGGGTTATAGGGGTTTAGGGTTATAGGGGCTTTGGGTTTAGGGTTCAGGGCTTAGGGTTTGGGGTTGTAGGCTTGAGGATGACTGTGGCAACTGCCAGGCAGATCGAGTTTGCGCCCGTCAGCATGGCGCCGTTGTTGCTGGCGGCCTCAGTTTTCCTTTCCTTCACCTCGCTCACATTTCAGACGTATGTCATCTTCGAGGAGGGCAGTTCTTGAAGTCATGGTTCCTTTTTGTGGTGATTATTCCTAAGCCCTTAGCCCTTTTGGGGGTTAGCAGACGCTACCCCCCCAAAGAGAGGCTTCAAAGAGCTCCGGCAGGAAGAGGGCGGCCAATTCATCCAGATGTCGGAGACATCCTTGGCGCTTGGCTTTACACTGGGCACCCCTAAACCCTAAACCCTAAACCCTAAACCCTAAACCCTAAACCCTAAACCCTAAACCCCAAACCCTAAACCCTAAACCCTAAAATTTAGCCCTAAACCCTAAACCCTAAACCCTAAACCCTCAACCCTCAACCCTCAACCCTCAACCCTCAACCCTCAACCCTCAACCCTCAACCCTCAACCCTCAACCCTCAACCCTCAACCCTCAACCCTCAACCCTCAACCCTAGGCGCTTGGCTTTACCCTGGGCATGACGCTTCTGGTGTCCTTGCCCGTGATTTTGGTCCTCATGCCTGTGACGGTCTACTTCGGGGTACGGCTGATGATGGAACTCCTCCAGCTCAAGCATCAGCTTGGTGGCTTCAGCATAAGGACGGATGGGGTTCAGGGTTTAGGGTTTAGGGTTTAGGGTTTAGGGTTTAGGGTTTAGGGTTTAGGGTTTAGGGTTTAGGGCGAGCAGGCCCTCAAGCCCGAAATTCCCAGCTGAGGGGCCCCAATCAACACCTCAAGGTCCCTAGGCTTCGAGGCCTCCTATAAGGGGCCTTCGGGGGGTGGCCTGCAGCGAAGTAGGTTGGGCGAAGCCTAAATCCTAAACCCCAAGCCCTAAACCCTAAACCCTAAACCCTAAACCCTAAACCCTAAACCCTAAACCCCAAACCCCGTGTTGAGCCAGGGCTTCTGAGTGCAGCTGCTGCACTTCAGAGCACTGCGATCCGCACACCGGCGAAGAGATGCTCTGCGACCGGAAGCTGGTCTTCCAGACCCTGAAGAGGTGGTATGCAGGTGGGAGGGTGGGGGGGTGGAGGCGCATTTCGGGTTTAGGGTTTAGGGTTAGGGTTTAGGGTTTAGGGTTTAGGGTTTAGGGTTTAGGGTTTAAAGTTTAGGGTTTAGGGTTTAGGGTTGAGGGTTTTAGGGTCAGGGCCAGGGTTTAGGGTTTAGGGTGTAGGGTTTAGGGTTTAGGGTTTAGGGCTGAGGGTGTGGTATATTCCCTTCGCCCCCAAAAGGATGGCCCAGTGTGAGGTCCAGCTACCATGGGGGTTCGGGTGGACTTTTGGGGATGCGGGTTTGAGGGTTTAGGGTTTAGGGTTTAGGGTCCCTCAAACCCTAACCTTGGAACGTTCCCCCTCCATGCACCTCGTAACAGTCGCTTACACTCAGGAGATTAAGAGTTTCGGACTTCGGCCCTGAGGAAGGCTTTTGAATATTTTTGGGGGATTCAGAATTTTGGGGTTTAGGGTTTCGGGTTTAGGGTTTAGGGTTTAGGGTTAGGGGTCAGGATGGTTTAGGGTCAGGGAAGGGCGCCCCGACTCGCGCGCAAACCCCAAAACCCAAAACCCAAAACCCTAAACCATAAACCCTAAACCCTGAACCCTAAGCCCTAAGCCCTAAGCCCTAAGCCCTAAACCCCAATCCGAAACCCTGTAAACCCCCAAACCCCAAGGCCGAAACCCTTTAAACCCTAAACCCTCAGACCCCCCAAACCCCTAAAACTGTCCCCAAGCTCTAAGCCCTACTTAAGCCCTGAAACCCTAAACCCTGAACTCTGCTACCCCCGCCTTTGGAAACCCTCATACAGTGTCCATGAGCTTAGGGTTTAGGGTTTAGGGTTTAGGGTTTAGGGTTTAGGGTTGAGGGTGTAGGATCCCCGAAGCTCCACCCGCCAAAGGGGTAACCTACTTAGCAGCGAGAGAGACATGTGAACTCTTGAGAGAATAAGGGGGGCAGCTAGCCACCCTAAACCCTAAACCCTGTGCTCTTCCAAACTTGCGCGAAATTTGCTCCTGCCTCTGCCTCGCAGGCTTTGGGTTCAGGAAATAGAGCTTAAGGTACCGCACGCCCGAAGCCTTGCAAGGCACGTCCTGTTCGCAAGAGGGTCATCTCGACGAATTCGACGAACTGGTTCAAAGCCAGCTCAGCGACTCGGAACGACAGCCGGTGTGGCAACAAAGGGTTACTTGGAGGTTCATGTACTTAGTAGCCCAATTATAAATGTACTTATAACCCAGTTATCGCCCAATCAGGGCACTTGAGTTACTAAGTGCCCTGAACCTCCAAGTATCGGGCTTGGAGACCATAAAGGGCTTTGGAGACTGCGCAGAGAGCCGTCACGCATTGTCACATCATCTCTCAGTAAGCGCCCACCCCTTTGTTCAGATGCTTCCTTGACCAGGCTTTCATGGCGACAGAGCGAGAAAGAGCATTGTTCATTAGCGGAAAGAGTCTCAAGGACTTAGTGGTTTCTAAAAGGTAGTCTTATTCTGAAAGTTTGAACTTCTTACCCAGTGGGTATTTGGCCAGTAAGAGGGGTGTTGGGTTTTGGGTGGCTTGAACTTCTTGTTGTTCCCCCTCGACTTGTTGCTTGCTCGTGGAGTTCATTTGACATGCCTCAGTTTAAGGTTTAGGGTTTAGGGTTTAGGGTTTAGGGTTTAGGGTTGGATTATGTAGGGTTTAGGGTTCAGGGTTTGGGGTTTAGGATTTGGCCCTCGACTCTGCACGATGGTGTGGCTTCTGGGCTGCTAGTGGTGAACGACGAAGCGAGCATGTCTTACTTCGCCTTTAGTTGAACTCTAAACTTTTTGGGCTTCCTTATTTCGTAGGAATGTTAAAGTTGGACCTTTTTTTCCCCTTTGTTATCGGAGAAGTAAGATGTTTCTGACGGTCACGCCAATTCCTTGATGGGTTTCGAGCGTCGTGCATTCCTCGTAAGCATGCCGAAGCACTAAACCCTCCGAGCTGAAGCCCTAAACCCTAAACCCTTAAACCCCTAAAACCCTAGATTCCTAAACCCTAAACCCTAAACCCTAAACCCTAAACCCTAAACCCTAAACCCTAAACCCTAAACCCTAAACCCTAAACCCTAACCCTAAACCCTAAACCCTAAACCCTAAACCCTAAACCCTGAACCCTAAACCCTAAGCCCTAAACCCTAAACCCTAAACCCTAAATCCTAAACCCTAAACCCTAAGCCCTAAGCCCTAAACCCTAAGCCAAACCTTCCCTTGCTTTCGCGAGCATGTCCCAGGTGCTTCAATGCTTCGCATCCTGGGGTCTGGTGCTCCTCCTCTCAGGCACGGCACCTGCACCGCGAAGCCCTCTACCCTGGGGTTTAGGGCTAGGGTTTAGGGTTTAGGGTTTAGGGTTTAGGGTTTAGGGTTTAGGGTTTAGGGTTTAGGGTTTAGGGTTTAGGGTTTAGGGTTTAGGGTTTAGGGTTTAGGGTTTAGGGTTAGGATTTAGGGTTTCGGGTTTTATGGTTCTCAAGGCTCGGCTCCCGCCAGGTATGTGGCCGTGATCACTCTCCCGCCGGTCGTAGCCCAGCTAGGCGTGCGGCAGCAAAACCCGAAACCCCAAACCCCAAACCCCAAACCCTACCCCAAACCCTAAACCCTACACCCGAAACCCTAAACCCCAAACCCTAAACCCCAAACCCCCCTAAACCTTAAAACCCTAAACCCTAAACCCAAAACCCAAAACCCTAAACCTTTAAACCTTAAACCCCAAACCCTAAACCCTAAACCCTAAGCCCAATGACGATTCCTCCAAATTCGGGCCCTGAAGCCCCAAACCTTTTCCAATCGTGTTTTTCAGGTTTCTCTTTCGTAAGTCAGAAGTGGTACCTGCGTGTTTTATTTTTCAGTTTGCTTTCTTTGTAAGTTCCCTGGGCCTTGAGCCCTAATACTACCCTGAACTTTCCCTTTTCTAAAAAGGTAGCTGTTCGAGCGCCCCCCCCCCAAGAGGAAGCCCTAAGACGACCCGAAATTTGTGGTTTTAGGGGGCCATTCGCGCCAAATCCTCAGACCCTAAACCCTAACCCTAAACCCTAAACCCTAAACCCTAAACCCTAAACCCTAAACCCTAAACCCTAAACCCTAAACCCTAAACCCTAAACCCTAAACCCTAAACCCTAAACCCTAAACCCTAACCCCAAACACCCTGAACCCTGAACCCTAAACCCTAAACCCTAAACCCTAACCCCAAACACCCTGAACCCTGAACCCTAAACCCTAAACCCAGAAGCGCTTATATAGGGCCGTAGGATTTCCGCAAGAGTTGAATGCCCCGCAGGACAGTATGTCGCGATGGGGCTGGTGGACACTCGGGGTTGGGCGTTTGGAAAGTGGCTGCTTCTTGGCTTGCGCTGCAGGGTTTAGGGTTGAGGGTTGAGGGTTTAGGGTTGAGGGTTTAGGGTTTAGGGTTTAGGGTCGAGGGTTGAGGGTTTAGTAGGGTTGAGTGGGGTTACAGGGGTTAGGGTTGAAGGCCTTTGTGTCCGCGGTCCTGTTGCAGGATCGACTTCTGCAGATTTCCTCCCATCGCGCTGTTCGTGTTCTGGGAGTTCATGATCATTTGGAGGACTCCTAAACCCTAAACCCTAAACCCTAAACCCTTAACCCTAAACCCTAAACCCTAAACCCTAAACCCCTAAACCCTAAACCCTAAACCCTAAACCCTAAACCCTAAACCCTAAACCCTAGACCCTAAACTCAGCCATGTGGAGGAAAGGTGCATCCATGCATGGCCGCGTCTCCCTCTGGGTTCTCGCTCTCGCCACGCCTGGCATCTGCTCCTTTCTTGCTATCTGCCTTCTGCTACCGTATGAGGACGGGGGTCCTAAACCCTAAACCCTAAACCCTAAACCCTAAACCCTAAACCCTAAACCCTAAACCCTAAACCCTAAACCCTAAACCCTAAACCCTAAACCCTAAACCCTAAACCCTAAAGCCTCAGAGGTTTAGGAGCTCCGCTGCCAGGTGGTGAAGTATGCCGTGGAGCCAGCCAGTCTGCTCACTGCATTCCCCATCGCCTTCATGTGGGCTGCCGTGGCTTTCCTCTACTTTCGCGAGTATCGGCACGTCTGATCCAGACGTTTAAGGTTTAGGGTTTAGGGTTTAGGGTTTAGGGTTTAGGGACCCTGCGCAGACATGGTGACACAGTCGTGTCGCCCCCCCCGTCCAGTTAGGAAAAAGAAGAGGCATCCTGTGGCCACAGGGTCTGAGCGGCCTCTGAAACCCTAAACCCTAAACCCTAAACCCTAAACCCTAAACCCTAAACCCTAAACCCTAAACCCTAAACCCTCTAAGTCCTTGGGAAGGCTGGGGTTTGGTGTTCAGGTTTCGTGGGCTCTGCAGGCCGTTTTTTGTTGTTGTGATTTTTTGGGTTTCGTCCTGTTTGGGGGGGTTCAGGACCCTAGACCTGTCTAGGGTTTAGGGTTTAGGGTTTAGGGTTCAGGGTGTAGGTCTTTAGGGTTCAGGGTTTCGGGGGCCATTGCAGTTTCTTTTCGGGTTTGGTGGCTGCCTAGCTCCGGAGAGGAGTGGAGCATGGCTGGCGGCATTTTCGCGTGAAGGTTGAGGTTGAGGGTTTAGGGTTTAGGGCTAGGGTTTAGGGTTTAGGGTTTAGGGTTTAGGGTGCCTGGAGCGTTCAACAAGCTACTGGGTAGCACATCTTCAGAAGCCCTGCTGATGGCTCCAGCGCTTGAGGAGCCCCTTTTATTTTAAGGCCTGTGCACGCTGAGCCACATTCTTTGCCACATCTCCATGGTTGGAATAATGAGTGTTGGATTGATGCCTCGGACGTAGGCTGCCTACTGATGAGAAGAAGAATGTAAAGGGGTGCTGTGTGGGATTGCTAGGCCACGTGGAGTCGCATTTGTAGGCAACTCCAACAGGGGTTTTACGGAAATAGGGGACCCCTAATTAGACCCACCCAAGTATTCGGATTCCCTTATAATCAGGACCCCAATAAGGTACCCCGAATTTCGGAAACCTCAACCAAAAACCCTAAACCCTAAACCTAAACCCTAAACCTTAAACACCCTAAACCTTAAACACCCTAGACCCCCCACACCTCTCTTTTGGGGGTTGTGTGAGCCCCATAACAAGGGACTCGCTAGTCGGACAGCTGCCCCAATGCGCCATGGTCGGAGACGCACATGGCGAGGCGGGTGGTGCCAGCGCAATGGGCCCTTCAACCCCAGCCGAACGCACGCCCGAAAGTCTCAAATCGTCAGCCCTGAGCCCTAAGCCCTAAACCCTAAGCCCTAAACCCTAAACCCTCAACCCTCAACCCTCAACCCTCAACCCTAAACCCTAAACCCTAAACCCTAAACCCTGAACCCTGAACCCTAAACCCTAGACCCTCAACCCTAAGCCCTAATCCCTAAACCCTAAACCCTAAACCCTAAACCCTAAACCCTCAACCCTCAACCCTCAACCCTACTATAAGCCCCTCCAAGTGCTAGGACTTGCCGTCGCGCCCTTGGTGCCTGGAGCTCAGAGCAATGAGCAGCCCGAGAGACCCAAGAAATTGTTTAGGGCTTAGGAGGTTTAGGGCTTAGGGCTTAGGGTTTAGGGTTTAGGGCTTAGGGCTTAGGGTTTAGGGTCTAGGGTTTAGGGTTTAGGGTTTAGGGTTTAGGGTTTAGGGCTTAGGGCTTAGGGTTTAGGAGACTTGGGCGGTTTAGGGGATTTAGGGGAGGGTTCAGGAGGGAGCTCAAGTTCTGGGGCTTTGGTTTCCTAAACTGCCCTTGAACATCGCACACGAAGCCCAAAACCTCCAAAACCCCAAGCCCTTAGCCTCCCCCTAAACCTCCCAAACCTCCTAAACCTCCTAAACCTCCCAAACCTCCTAAACCTCCTAAACCCCCTATGCCTCCTAAACCTCGTAAACCCTAAACCTCCTAAACCCTGAACCCAAAGCCTCCTCCGCACTCTGGCGACACCAGGTTGACGCCGGCGTACGGCAACCCGTCCTGCTCGGTCGTTGGCCAAGCGTGCGACGCCCCAGAGGTGTTGGATTTAGGGTTTCAAGGGGGTTTCGGGTTTAGGGTTTAGGGTTTAAGGTTAATCTTCAACTTGAAAGCCCTTGTCATCCCTATACCCGAAGCCTCAAACCCTGCACTCCTGACCCGAACCTGACCCGAAACCCTGTACACAAATCCGTGCCCAGGACCTTCCTAAACCCTCAACCCAAAACCCAAAACCCTGAACCCTGAACCCTGAAACACCCTAAACTCTAAACCCTAAACCCTAAACTCTAAACCCTAAATCCTAAACCCTAGACCCTACAATCGATTCTCCCTGCCAGGTACCAGGATGCAGCGCCTCCTGTGACCGGCCTGCCCAATGGCGCCTTCCTGACCGACGCAACTCAGTGTCAGACGCTTGCCGAAGAGCAGGTTTTTCGGGTTTAGTGATTGCGGACTTAAGGGCTTAAGGGTTGAGAACTTAAGGGTTTAAGGGTTGAGAGGTTAAAGGTCTGAGGGTTGAGAAAGTAAGGGTTTAAGGGTTGAGAACTTAAGGGTTGAAGGGCTTGGTACAGTTCGACTTCGCCAGCTCTTCGGGCACTTGTTGTTGATCCCGTTCTAAGCCCTAATTAAGCCCCACACTTCACCCCAAACCCAAGAACCCTAAAACTCCGAAGGCCCTAATTAAGCACCCTAAACCCTCGACCCTAGACCCTAAACGTAAACCCAAAGAGCTGAGGTCTTTGTGCGCGAGCAATCCCTCCTGCCAGCACTTTACTTGGCAGCCTGGCAGATCTGGCTATAGGGGTCGGAATAACTTTAAGTTATTTACTCCCTTACAGCAGCCCTAAGCCCAGAACCTGGACTCCTAAACCCAAAACCCAAAACCCTCTAAACCCTAAGCCCTAAACCCTAAACCCGAAACCCTAAACCCTAAACCCTAAACCCTAAACCCTAGAAGCCACGCTCCTGAGGTTCACCGATAACCACGGCTGCTGGCTGGGCCTCGATGGCCAGGAAGGCCTCGTGCTGGCTCCCCATGCCTGGCCCTTGGGGTTTAGGGTTTAGGGTTTAGGGTTTAGCTGTAGGAAGGGTTGGGGGGTTTAGTGGCTCGAGAGTTTGGGGTTCGGGGTGACTTTAGGGTCGGGGTTGGGGGTTCGTGACTTTAGTGTTCAGGGTGGTCCGCTTTGTTGTAAGATGAAACCTTCCGTGTTTACTCCTGGAACCATCCCCGCGACACAAAATCCTAAACCCTGAGCCCTAGACCCTAAAACTACAGTCTCTTGAGTGCCTGGGCTTCGATAGCAGGGAATATTTGGTGCTTTCAGGGTTAGGTTCGTTTGGGCTTCAGGCCTTACTAAAGAGAATCCCAGCTCTAACAGCCCACATCGAGCCTGAAAGCCCCAAACTTTAAACCTCAGGCCCTGAACCATACATCCTTAAAGGCATATAAGAGGCCCTGAACCCTAAACCCTAAGCCCTAACCCCTCAACCCTAAACCCTAAACCCCAAAAACCCCAAACCCCAAACCTTAAACCCTAAACCCTAAACCCTAAACCCTAACGGCCCTAAACATTCAAGGCGGTCTCCGGCCCGAAGCGGTGCGCTGCGCCCACCTCGGCCCCCGTGGTCGTCGGTGCCGCGGCACGGTTTAGGGTTTAGGGTTTAGGGTTTAGGGTTTAGGGTTTAGGGTTTAGGGTTTAGGGTTTAGGGTTTAGGGTTTAGGGTTTAGGGTTTAGGGTTTAGGGTTTAGGGTTTAGGGTTTAGGGTTTAGGGTTTAGGTGTTAGGTTTTAGGGTTTAGGGTTTAGGGTTTAGGGTTTAGGGTCAGGGTTTAGAGTTTAGGGTTTAGGGTTTGTGGTTTGGAGTATACCGGGTTTCGGGTGAGGGTTGAGGGTGCAAGGGCCTTAGGGTTGAGGGCATTTGTCTTCTTCAGTCTCAACTTAACAACTTTGGCTTTCCGACAGCGACCCAGATGTTGGCCGGGCTTAGGGCGAACCCTCAACTTGCCCTAACCCCTAACCCCTAACCCCTAACCCCTAACCCCTAACCCCCCCTAACCCCTAAACCCTAACCCCTAACCCCTAACCCCTAAACCCCTAAACCCCTCAACCCCTCAACCCCTAAACCCTAAACCCTAAACCCTAAACCCTAAACCCTAAACCCTAAACCCTAAACCCTAAACCCTAAACCCGAAACCCGAAACCCTAAACCCTAAACCCTAAACCCTAAACCCTAAACCCTAAGCCCTTTTCGGGTCTCTATGGTTGCCTTTAGTTTAGGGGTTTAGGGTTGGGGGCCTTACCCACTTCTTTATCCCCTAAACCTTAAAACCCCTGATGACTTTTAGGCATGACTTTTCGGGGGCCAGGGGCCATAGTGTTTGGGGTCTAGTGTTTGGCTTTTCAAGCTTCGCTGTGGATCTGAGCTCGGGGATGTTGCCACCGGAGTCGGCTTTTTGCTGTTTTTTCGCTGTTGTTGGCCCCAAGCCCAAAACCCTCAAGCCTCCAACCCCAAACGCTCCGTCCCTAAACCTTCTGACTCCTCAACCCTTAACCCTGAACCCTAATCCCCAAACCCTAAACCCTAAACCCTAAACCCCAAACCCCAAACCCTAGACCCTAAACCCTAGACCCTAAACCTGGCCAGGGCCTCCGTCCACGAGTTCGGTGCCCCTGGCGCTGCCGGCCTGCCGGCTTTGCATTTAGCCCCAAACCCCAAACGCCAAACCCTAAACCCTAACCTTTCTTGGGGCGATAACCATATGAGGGCACGCAAGGGGCTCATAAGGTGAGCTATCACGACAGCGCCACGAACCTCCAGGTATTTCGGGCCTAGGGCTTGAAACTACTTGCTATGGGGTTTGGGATCTTCGGCGGTAGGTTTGAGAGTTTTTGGGGATGTAGGTTTTTGGGGTTTGGGGATTTCGGGGTTTAAGGTATTGCGGGTTTCTGAAGGCTCGCAACGCAACTTGGCCTTCAACTTGGAAGTTTGCAGGATTTCGGGGTGTTTCTGCGGGTGTCGTGCGCCCTCTCCTTCTGGGATGCTGGGGGCACGTAGACCCCACACCCTGAGCCCCGAAGCCTCTAAACCCCTGATCCCCTGAACACTACACCCCAAGCCCGAAACCGACAAAGGCGTTCGTTTAGGGTTTAGGCTTTAGGGTTTGGGGTTTAGGGTTTAGGGTTTAAGGGTGCTTTAGGGGTGCTTCGGGGGGCTTACTCGCTGCGCGCAGGTGCCTTCTCTGACGTCGCCGCCGCTCCCGAAAGCCCCTTCAGGAGGCCCGGTCGTGTGGGGGGGTTTAGGGGTTCAGGCTTCGGGGTTTAGGGTTTAGGGTTGGGGTTTGGGTAGGGTGAGGGTTCAGGGTGGGGGTTGGGATGTTCCCCCTTATACCAACAGTCCTTAGTAGGGATTATCGTAACCCTAAACCCTAAACCCTAAACCCTAAACCCTAAACCCTAAACCCCGAAAATGATCCCTATTGGGGATTGTCAGGAAAGGGGAACCATCCCCAGGTTTGGGGTAATGCGTATACCAACAGGGACGTAGGGAGGCTGCCAATGCGTGGGTTCAGGATTGTTTACTTGAGTATGTTAGATGTTTGTCGTATTATTGGTATGGAGGGGCCTTATTTCGATACAAGTGAAATTTCTGAAAAACCTTGTAAGCCCCTAAACCCTAAACCCTAAACCCTAAACTCTACACCCTAAACCCTGCACCCTAAAGCCTAAACCCTAAACCCTAAACTCTACACCTCAACAAATGCAGGTGAAACCGGCAGGGGCCCTTCGGGTGGCGGTCCGGCAGGGTGGCTGCTGGCGGTATGCCAGGGCCTCAACAGTCTTGGGCTGTTTAGTTTTTTGTTCCAGGACGGGGGGGGGGGGGGGGGGGGGGGGGTTTAGGGTTTAGGGTTTAGGGTTTGGGGTTGAGGGTTGAGGGTTGAGGGTTTAGGGCTTAGGGCTTGGGGTTTGGGGTTTGGGGATGAGGGCCTCTAAGTACTAAGGCTCAAGTCACGAAGTCGCAATACCCGTTTCAGAATCTTGAGGGTTTTGGGGAGGTTCTAGAGTCTAGGTTGCTTGAGGATTCTAGGGGGTCTTAGGGTGTACAGTTTAGGTAGGCCCTAAGTCCTAATCACACATTAAGCCTCAAAACCTAAACCCTAAAGAACCCTAAGCCCTAGACCCTAATCATTCTTAATAGCCAAGTAGTACGTATGTACAATCCTAGCATAGTTGAAAGGTAGACCTGTTTTGGGCCAGGGTACTCAGCAACTCTTGTAGCTTTCTTCATCATCTGCTGGGGCCCGAGAGGGCAGCATCTCCGGTTTGGATGGCTCAGGGATTAGGGCTCAGGGTTGAGGGGTTTTATATAGGGTTGAGGGTTTAGGGTTCAGGGTTGAGGGTTGAGGATTTAGTGTTCAGGGTTCCCGCTCGCAGGGCTTGCCTCCGGGTGTTGTCAGCACGCGTGACACACTCGCACCGCACCTACACCCCCCTCTCCCCCCCACGCCCAGAACCCCAAAGCCCTAAACCGCTATACCCCTACACCCTTACACCCCTAAACCCCGAAACCCCTAAACCCCTAAACCCCTAAACCCCTAAACCCCTAAACCCCTAAACCCCTAAACCCCTAAACCCCTAAACCCCGAAACCCCGAAACCCCTAAACCCCTAAACCTCGAAACCCCTAAACCCCGAAACCCCTAAACCCCTAAACCCCTAAACCCCCAAACCCCCAAACCCCTAAACCCCTGAACCCCTAAACCCCTGAACCCTACACCCTAAACCCTAAACCTCAGACCCTTCCACCTCCCATCTGCAGTGGCTTGCGGCCTCCTCCTCTTCGCTGGCTTCATGGCGCTCAGACCCAGCCTGTTGCAGGAGGAAATTAGGGTTTAGGGTTTAGGGTTTAGGGTTTAGGTTTTGAGGTTTACGGTTTAGGGTATTCTAATCCCTTTAATATCCCCCCAGGTTACTGGACAACTAAGGATTTGAGAGCTTCCTATAGGAGTCGGAGTAATTGCTAGTGCTGTCCCCTTATCGTCCCCATACTGCTATACCATAATGACTCCTCCAAACCCTGTTCTAAGGATTCAGGCCCCCTATAGTAGGGTTTGCCGTTACAGGACTTTAGGAGAGTGATCGTTCGGAAGCTCAAGGGGTTGAGGGTGTAGGGTTTAGGGTTTAGGGTTTAGGGTTACATTTTGTTTGGGGCTTGAGGGTTGGAGGCTTCGATCGCTTGGGCTTCCAGTCATGCAACGGTTCCATTATGACAGCAGCTTCGAGGCGTCTTGATGGGTAGATTTTATCAGTAGGGTCCAAAGGAGGGTTTAGGGTTTAGGGTTTAGGGTTGGCAGTATGTAAGGCGTCCGAGCTCGTTTCCGATGCTCGACCCTGAACCCTGAACCCTAAACCCTAAACCCCAAACCCCAAACCCTAAATCCCGCCCAAGAGACCCCGGCTCGCTGAAGGCCAAGAACTTCCTCTGCCGGCCCTCCAAGCCAAAGGAAAGCGCGAGGAAGCGGCACATGAGGCGGGTTGAGGGTTTAGGGTTTAGGGTTTAGGGTGTGGGGTTTAGGGTTTAGGGTGTGAGGTTTAGGGTTTAGGGTTTAGGGTTTAGGGTTTAGGGTTTAGGGTTTAGGGTTTAGCGTTTAGGGTTTAGGGTTTAGGGTTTAGGGTTTAGGGTTGAGGGGCCCTAAACTTTAAACCCCAAACCCTAGACCCTTTGTTGGCTTCGGGGGTTGAGTTTTTGTTGCCTTTGCAATGCTGAGACACCCCCCCCCCTCGACCCAAGATCCTAAAAAACCTCCTTTCACCCCAAACCCCACACCCCAAAGGGCTCAGAGCTCAAAAGGGGCGGAGCTGAAGGGTTGAGGGTTGAGGGTTTGTGGGGTCAAGAGCTGAGGGTTGCTAACAGCCCTCTGAGCTCGTCGTCTTAAACGGTCCGAGCCTCAAACCTTGAACCCCAAACCCCAAACCCCAAACCCCAAACCCCAAACCCCAAACCCCAAACCCCAAACCCCAAACCCCAAACCCCAAACCCCAAACCCCAAAACCCCTAACCCTAAACCCTAAACCCCAAACCCCAAACCCCAAACCCCAAACCCCAAACCCCAAAACCCCAAACCCTAAACCCTAAACCCTAAACCCTAAACCCTAAACCCCAAACCCCTAACCCTAAACCCTAAACCCTAAATCCTAAACCCGAAACCCTAGGCCCTAAACCCTAAATCCCCCAACCCTAAACCCTGTAACATGCCCTGTTGGCCCTGTTGGGTCGTTCTCTTTTCTGATTAGAGCAGCTTTTTGGGTCCTTGGTTGAAGGGTGCCGTGCTGCGGGGATCCTGGCTTGGGATGCTTTTCTTGCAGGGTTCTTGAGGGAGGGGGGTTCAAGGAGGGTGTGTAACCCAAGGCTCCCTAATAATCTTTACTACTCCCTAACACCCCCTAAGCTTCCCTAAGCTTCCCTAGGTACCTACCGCCCATGAACCCCCGCCCCTTAAGAACCCAATCATTGCCGGAGGCGGACTCAGGGCATGGCGCCTGTGGAGCAGGAAGAGGAGGAGGAGGACCTCTCTTGCCTTTGGTCTCGTCCTGTCTTTGCTCCTAAGGGGAAGTGAAACAGCGTGAACTCCATCGCTGCTTCACGACAGTCTAAGTCGAAAAGCGAAGCACATGAATGGTTCAACTACTGCAGCTGAGCGGCGCTCTTCATCATTCAGTCTCAGACTCGTACAGTGGCGGGCGCATGTTAACAAGTACCATGAACCTCCGAGTAGGAGGACCATGGTGTGTAGATGCCTGCCTGCCCTATTCCCACCAGGCTCCTCTCTGGGGTTCTTCTTTTGGGGTTCCTATGCGCAGAACTTTGTCCACGGTTCCGATGCGGTTTCCCTTTTGGAGTTCCGAAGTATCTAACCCTCCCGAACCCAAATCCTAAAACCCTAATCCCAGAAAACCCTAAACTAACCCAGACTCTAGACCCTGAAACCTGACACCCTCCCCCAACCCAAAGCTTAGCACCTGAACCCCAAACCCAGTCGCAACCCAGCCCCCACACCCCTGTTTTTTGAAGATATAGGGTTTAGGGTTTTAGGGGACCCGTTCGACGTACCTGTGCTTCACGGGTGTGCACGTTGTTGTTTCGAAGCTCCATACGTGAGTCCACAAAGGTAAGCTATACTGCTTCGAAGTTGAGGGTAGTTGCATGGGCCCTTGACATGGTCCCTTACCTCCTGGGTACATAAGGGGGTGCCCTTTAAGGGCCCATACCCTAAACCCTAAACCCTAAACCCTAAACCCTAAACCCTAAACCCTAAGACCTCTGAGAGTCGTTGGCGTGATATCTGAGGACTCTTGAAGGCATTGCGGGTCGGCCTCGGGGGGCTTGAGGTGGCATCTTTGCTTACGAGCCTGGCTACGGCTTTTGAGGTTGAGGGTACTACCCACGTTTAGGGTTTAGGGCTAGGGTTTAGGGTTTTTAGGGTTTAGGGTTTCGGTTTTAGGTTGGAGGGTTTGAGGGGCTCAGGTTTCACAGTTTAGAATTCGGGCTTCCTGCAGTTCCCGTACTTGGCTTAGGGTTTAGGGTTTAGGGTTTAGGGTTTAGGGTTTAGGGTTTAGGGTTTAGGGTTTAGGGTTTAGGGTTTAGGGTTTAGGGTTTAGGGTTTAGGGGTTCGGGTTTCGGGTTTAGGGTTTGTTCCCATACTTCAAAGAAGAAGAAGATGAGGAGATGGACGTGGAGAAGCCAATGATGCCATGGGAACAGCGTGCCCAGGCGACGCCTGTTGGGCTAAAAGCGTGTCTTCCTTTCAGGGGCACTTTAAAGGAGGGACCTTTAAGGAGGGAACGTGGGGGGCCCCTGAATCTGATTCCCGTAGATAACCCCTATATAATATGCAGCTTGTATGACCACAAACACACACACACACACACACACACACACCTTATATAGTCCCTATATACCTAAGTACCCCCCCCCCCCCCTAAATAGGCCCTAAATAACCCCTCCTTATTCCCCTTGCTTCTTTGTGTGGCCAGGTGGGCAAACCCTAGAGATTTGAAATCAACCCCGGAACCCTAGAACCTAGAACGTAAACCCTAGACCCTAAACCCTAAACCCAAACCCTGAACCTTAAACCCTGAACCTTCAACCCAAAACCCAACCCTTCCATCTTTGTGAACCCTTAAGCCTGCATGTGTGTTGCTTTAAAGGTCATTTACAGGGATGGGACTACGGGGAGAGACTCCTTTTCGAAAGGAGGCCTACCTTATCGTAATTCTTGCGGGCATGTGGAAAAACGACCAAGATGCATTCTAAGTCCCTTTTCGAATCTGGAGCACCCAACCGCCCCTATCCCTAAACCCTAAACCCTAAGCCCTAAACCCTAAGCCCTAAACCCTAAACCCTAAACCCTAAACCCTAAACCCTAAAACTCTAAACCCCTCAAGTCGCCGTGAACCCTTCAACGAGCCCCTCGCCCTTCTCTTGGTCTCCAAATTTTAACTCGCAGGCCCTTCTCACTCTAATTCTCACTCTCACTCTCACTCTCGCTCTCGCTCTCGCGCTCGCGCTCACTCTCACTCTCACTCTCCCTCTCACTCTCCCTCTCACTCTTACTCTCCCTCTCAGTCTCAGTCTCACTCTCGCTCTCACTCTCACTCTCACTCTCTCTCACTCTCACACTCACTCTCTTCTCCCCCAAAAAGATTAAAACTATCTGAGTGTCTTCATGGTTTCGTCTTCACCTCGAGCTGCCGGGCAGGCAGCGCGCACGGGCTCCTCCTCCAACTTCCCGGCGCGGACCACCACCGGGGCTTGGTCTTTTAGTAGGGTTTAGGGTTTAGGGTTTAGGGTTTAGGGTTTAGGGTTTAGAGGGTTTAGAGGGTTTCGTGGCGTTTCGGGCCTACAGCCCCTAAGCCCTATGCACGTCCGAAGCCCTCTACCCTCCATGAACCCAAAGCGCTGCATAAACTCCAAGCCCTCAGAGCCCTGCAGCTGAGAGCACCTAACCCCTGCCACCCCAAACCCTGGCTGCCATTGCTTTCGGGATTGAAGGGCTCGAAGGGGTTCCAGAAAACACTCACCAAAACTCCCGTTGAGGGTTTAGGGTTTAGGGAGCACGCTTTGCAGCACCCGCCGAAGAATAGCCCCTGCAGGCTTCCTTGACAACAGCCTATATGTTTACGATAGTAGGGACCCCCTGTATAGACCCCCAAATAGGAGGATTCCCTTTTTGCAAGGACCCCGCTAAGGTACCCCTAAATCCCGAAACCCCCAATATCCCTAAACCCTAAACCCTAAACCCTAAACCCTAAACGCTAAACCCTAAACCCTAAACCCTAAACCCTAAACCCTAAACCCTAAAACCTAAACCCTAAACCCTAAACCCTAAACCCTAAACCCTAAACCCTAAACCCTAAACCCTAAACCCCTTAGGTCCTTCACGAAGGTCCCTCCTTTCGTCCCCTTGCAGGCCTCGACTACCGGCGGCTTCGCTCGCCTACCCATGGAGGCCATCTGCGTTCATTTTGAACCCTCAACCCTGAACCCCAAACCCTAAACCCTAAGCTCTAAACCCTAGACCCTAGACCCGAGACCCTCGTTCCTAAGCCCTCTGCTACAGCCCCCTGGGCTCTGATCCCTGCGGCCAGGGTTTTTGCAGAACCTGAGCAGCCCTGAAGGTCGCGCGAAGAAGGTTTAGGGTTTGGGGTTTACCGTTTAGGGTTTAGGGCACTTAAAGACCCAAGTATCTGCAGCCCCCCCCCCCCCCCCCCCCCCCCCCTGTCTGGAATGAACGAATAGCCTGTATTACCCTAAACCCCAAACCCTAAACCCTAAACCCTAGACCCTAGACCCTAAACCCTAAAACCCAAAACCCTAATATCCCTAATAACCCTAAGCCCGAAAGCGTCCTCATGAGCCAGCAGGACATGACCATGCAGGTGCCGACGCAGGACTCGGGACTGAGGGCAGCCTGGGCTGAATTTGGGGTGGTGGTGAGGTTTCGGGTTTAGGGTTTAGGGTTTGGGGTTTGGGGTTTGGGGTTTAGGGTTTAGGGTTTGGGGTTTAGGGTTTAGGGTTGAGGGGTGGACATCTTGAATGTATATTGCTTTTCCTGGTTGGGAGGCTTGTTTGGGATGCAGGATTCTAGGATTGCGGGTTTACTTCTCCGGGTGGCGTGCGTGTTTCTGGTTGGGGGCTTTCAACACCTTCAGATTCCCAAAGCTGACGGCTATAGGCTTGCGGGCCTGAACCCTCAAACCGCAAGCCTTAAAATCCGAAGCCCTAAGCCCTAAACTCCTGAACCCTAAAACCTGGAACCTCTCAAGCGCTCAGAGCCCTCAGAGCCTAGTAGACCCTCTAGATCTCCTCCCCCACAACGCCCCCAAGCCAGTCAAGCCATCCCTAAACCCTAAACCCTCAACCCTAAACCCTAAACCCTAAACCCTAAGCCCTAAACCGTAAACCGTAAACCGTAAACCCTAAACCCTAAACCCTAAACCCTAAACCCTCCACCCCACCCTCCTAAAGCGCTGAAGCTTCAAGCCTTGAACCCCAGACCCCCAAGCCCCAAAAGCCCCAAGGCCTAAATCCCCTCCTCACATTGTAGGATCGTGAGTCAGACGGTCAGGGGCCACTCTAAGAGTACTTCACCCTACCCCAAGCCCATACCCCTAAACTTCTTAACCTATAGCAGGAGAATATAAGGGAGTCTGAGGGGGCATTTTACCTTATACCCCCGATTAGAAATTTCAGGGCACGCCCCAGGGGGTACTCGTATGTCTCTCTGTCTCTCTGTCTCTCTGTCTCTCCGTCTCTCCGTCTCTCCGTCTCTCCGTCTCTCCGTCTCTCCGTCTCTCCGTCTCTCCGTTTCTCCGTCTCTCGGTCTCTCCGTCTCTCCGTCTCTCCGTCTCTCCGTCTCTCCGTCTCTCCGTCTCTCCGTCTCTCCGTCTCCCGTCTCTCCGTCTCTCCGTCTCTCCGTCTCTCCGTCTCTCTGTCCCTCTGTCTCTCTGTCTGTCTCTCTCTCTCTCTCTCTTCTGTCTCTTTCTGTCAGTGTCTGCTTCGCTTTTCCTCGAGCTTTGTCTCTTCGTTGGAAAATTGGAAAAAAGAAAGGAATATGAATAGTAATATGAATTATCATACTATTTGACTTATCAACATGATTAACAATTCTAGCAGAAGCTACTGGAAATCACAAACTTTGAGCTTTCAAATAAAAGCCGTCGGATGGAAAACTTACACCCTACAATGAGATTGTAGGTGGCGAAGCCCTAGAAGAAAAAAGCCAACGAGATGCGGTGCCAAACACAAGAGCCCATAGCCCTGAACCGAAGCAGCCCGAAGCCATAAGTCTTCCCTTAAACCTAAATCCTATATTTTGTATGTGTGAATTGAACCGTTTAAATAGCAACCAAAAGGTGAGTGCCAAATAGACCCTAAAGGTCCATGCCACTCCCCCGAGGGTTGGACTGTTCCGGACTATGTGACAACAGTTAGTGCTTTAACTTGTACTTTGCCACGGGGAGGGGGGGGGGGAGGGAGAAGCCACCTTCATTCCTTAGGAAAACCCTGACCCCTAAACCCGAAACCCTAACCCCAAACCCTAAACCCTAAACCCTAAACCCGAAACCCTAACCCCAAACCCTAAACCCTAAACCCTAAACCCTAAACCCTAAACCCTAAACCCGAAACCCTAAACCCGAAACCCGAATTGGCCTCGGGAATCCCCGGAAACCCTTTTCTCTAAGGCGCCCAACTTCCCGCCTGGGCCTCTTGAAACAGTGCTTCCGTGTTCAAGGTGTTAGGGTTTTGGGTTTAGGGAATGGGGTCTGGGGTTTAGGGTTTAGGGTTTAGGGTTTGGTTTAGGGTTTAGGGTTTAGGGTTTAGGGTTTAGGGTTTAGGGTTTAGGGTTTAGGGTTTAGGGTTTAGGGTTTAGGGTTTAGGGTTTGGGGATTGGGGTTTGGGGTTTGGGGTTTGGGGTTTGGGGTTTAGGGTGCAGGGGCTTCGTATCCGGAGGGTTTTTGTTGTTTTTATTTGGAAATGCCAAATAGAGTGGGATCTTCTTGACGGTTTCAGCCCGAAGCCCTAAACCCTGAACCCTGCATCCCGTTTGGGGGCGGAGTCGGCGTCTTGTGGGCCTTCGGGTTTGTAGGGTTGAGGGTTTAAGGATGAGGTTAGGGTTTGGGGTTTAGGGTTCAGGGTTTAGGGTTTAGGGTTTCGGGTTTAGGGTTCAGGGTTTATACGGTTTGCAGGGTTTGCAGGGTTTACAGGGTTTAGGGCTTGGGCTTTGGGGTAGTAGAGCGCGGAAGACTTTTGCTCTTTTGGGGTCTTAGGGCTTGGGGCTAGGAGTTGAAACCCGAAGACTTGAAGCTCAGGGTTTCGGGTTTGGGGTTTAGGGTCTAGGGTTTACAACCCTCACCCCTTACCCACCCACACACAAAATAACTAGACTCAACCCTTACCATAGCCCCAACCCTAAACCCGAAACCTTAAACCTTATTGGGCAATTCCGAAAATAGGGGTACCCCCAAAAAGGGTACCCCTATTTTCGGAAACCCCGTTTAGGACCCTGGAGTGTCACTGGGCTTGAGGGGCTTAGGGCTCGAGGGCTATTTGAGCGGGCCCTGTTTGGGGTTTAGCCGTTCTTTTTGGCGGTTCCATTGGGCCTTTCGTTCATTCTGATTGAGGCCGTCAAGCTTCCGGGTTTAGGGTTTAGAGTTTAGGATCATTCCCGAAGCCTTAGGCAAGCGCCCGGGGGACAACTTGGCCCGTCGCATCTTGCCTGCATGGAAGAGCCGTTGTTAGGCCGAACCCTAACTTTAAAACCACAGATTCTTTGCCGTATATAAACCCTGAACCCCAAAACCCGTGGTGTAGAAGGGATGTAGGCTTATGATAGTTACAAAAGCTCGGCCTTAGTGAGAGGGTGTAGTAAGCCTTAAGCCCTAAGCCCTAAGCCCTAACCCCTAAACCCTACACCCTACACCCTACACCCGACACCCTAAACCCTAAACCCTAAACCCTAAACCCTAAACCCTAAACCCTAAACCCTAAACCCTAAACCCTAAACCCTAAACCCTAAACCCTCAACTCATCAGGTCAACTTGGCTGAACTCACTTCCCGCCACCAATCGCTTTGTGCCGGCGACGCACTGAGCCCAGGCACTGCGAGGCTTTTGAGTCATTTGAGGTTTGGGGTTTAGGGTTTCGGGTTTAGTGGGGTTTAGGGACCCTAAACCCTAAACCCTCAACCCTCAACCCTCAACCCTAAACCCTAAACCCTAAACCCTAAACCTTAAACCCTAAACCCTAAACCCGAAACCCGAAACCCGAAACCCTAGACCCTAAACCATAAACCCTAAACCCTAAACCCTTATCCCTAAACCCTAGACCCTAAACCCAAAATCCTAAACCCGAACCCTAAACCCTAAACCCTAAACCCTATAAACTCTAAACCCTACACCCTCAACCCTGAACCCTGAGCCCTGAAAGCCCAGTGCCCTGATCTTTCAAAGGGAGTGTCCCCCCTTATTTTAACAGTCCTTATAGGGATTATCCCTCTTAAGGACTGTTAGCAAAAAGGGGGAACATCCTCCTTTGTTAAGCGGAGCATATTCCATGCGAGTAATTGGGAGGTTCTCAACATTTCGGGTCCACTAAACCCTAAGCCCTAAGCCCTAAGCCCTAAGCCCTAAGCCCTAAGCCCAAAGCCCTTAGCCCTAAGCCCTTAGCCCTTAGCCCTAAGCCCTAAGCCCTTAGCCCTCAGCCCTAAGCCCTAACCCCTATGCCCTTAACCCTAAGCCCTAACCCCTAAACCCTTAACCCTAACCCTAGTCGAGGAGCTCTAGTGGAGCTCCGATCTCTGAGGTTTAATGGTCGTTTCGGGTTCTTGGTCTTCTTGGGATTTCGGCAAAAGGAGGCCAGTTGGTTTAGGGTTGAAGGTTGAGGGTCGAGGGCCAAACGGAACGAGACAGCATCACCCCGTAAACCCCAAACCCGTAAACCCTAAACCCTAAATCCTAAACCCCAAAACCCCAAACCCCCAATGTCAAGGGCAAAACTTTTTTGGGATCCGAGGAGGATTGGTTGAGAGGGCTAGTCGTCACGATCGCAGAAGTCCGTAAGAGTTGTTGATATTCGCTCAACTAAGTGGGCGGCATATTGTTGAACCCTACACCCTAAACCTTCAACCCCAAACCCCAAACCCCAAACCCCAAACCCCAAACCCCAAACCCGAAACCCTAAACCCTCAGCCCCAAACCCTAGACCCGTATGTCCCCAAGCCCTCGTGTCGGTTTCGTATTTCGGGGGGTAGGATCTCTGCGTTCCTAGTCGGAGGCCCTTCCGCCCGCGCACAGCTCTCCTGGTGCAGAGTGAGAAGTGGCTGCATGAGAGTTGGGGGGGCTTAACTAGGGTTTGAGGGCTTGGGGTTGAAGGGTTTAGTGTGCAGGCCGGAAGAGTTTCTCTCATGGTCCCTTTATCATTGTACTCTAATCACACCCTTATAAGGCCCCTGTATTACGGGTTTTGGGTTTCGGGCGCAAGGTTTGGGGTTTAGGGGAGTTTTTTTTAACCCCACACCCCTAAACCCTAAACCCGAAGCCCTAAGCCCCAAACCCTAAACCCCACTGGTTCCATGCTGTTGGGGAGCCTAGGTTTGTTGGGGAGAACCCCTTGGCGCCTGCACCCACATACCTCTAAATCGCCCCCCCCCCCCCCCCCCGCCCCCAAAACGTGAAGGCAGCAACTAACAGTCTCCCCCTCAAATCTGCTTAGGGGTTTCAAGAGTGCTTCATAGGGCTCAATTTTGGTTTATAGCAGGGTTGACCTTCAACCTTTTCGGTTATATGTATATATATATATATACATAAATATAATATATGTGTATATATACATATGTATATATGTATATATATATATATATATGTATGGTCCGATTACAAAACAAGGTGAACCTTTCTTGGGCTAGGGAAGAAAGCCCCTGGTTCAGGGTTTAGGGTTTAGGGTTTGGGGTTTAGGGTTTAGGGTTCCTTTCCTACACTTTGTTGTTGCTTTTGTTTAGGGTGCGCTTGACTTTTTTGGTAGCTCCTTTCGTGAAGATGGCCACATCTTGGTGGAATAAATTTTGGGGATCTTCCCCTTATACTAACATTCCTCAGTAGAGGATACAAAGTAGGGGGCACTCTAATCCCCATGAAGGACTGTTAGGTAGAAGGGTGAACATCCCGAGGTCTCTTCGTGGTACCCAACCTAAACCCTAACCCTAAACCCTAAACCCTAAACCCTAAACCCTAAACCCTAAACCCTAGACCCTAGACCCTAGACCCTAAACCCTAAACCCTAAATCCTAAGACCCTGGAAGTGCCACTTCGAGGTTGATAGCTTAGCGCGCTGCTGGGATGCAAAGTCGTCCGTCGCCGCGAAGGCAATCGCTCAGGTCCTCTCGAGAATTGCCCCGAAGTTGAGACGAAGGGTTTTCCGTTTTTTTTTTTTTTGGGGGGGGGGAGAGGAGCGGGGGGAGTTTGGGGCTTAACGTTTAGGATTTAGGGTCGAAGAAGAGAGTCGGCAAGTGAGTTGTCTTGGAGCACAGCAAGGGTCTGGGTGCGTCTTGCAGCGTTTCGTTGGTGTAGAAGTGTCTTCTAACTTTGTTGCGCTCGGGTTTTGGGATTTCAGGGCTGAAGGATCAGGGTCAACCCTAGGGTGGCTAGTCCACGTTATTGTTTTCAATGCCAAGCCTTGCCACGCAGCCACACACACATACACGTCTCTTTTGCAAAGAGGACCGAGTGCCAAGGAGTCGTTGAGTTAGCGGGGTTCCAGCCCCCCCCCCCCCTCCTGCACCCTAACCCTAAACTCAAAGCCCTCGAAGCCCTCAGAGCCCTAAAAGCCCCAACAGCCCTAGAAGCCCCAAAAGCAACCCTAAACCCTCAACCCTAAACCCGAAAACGCCTAAGAGCCCGAAATCCGAAACCTTAGGCCCTCTGGATCCAAATCCCTACCGGTTTTGAAGCCGAGGATTTAGGCCTGTCATGGGAGCGACAGCAGGCCAATAGAGCTTAGGGTTTAGGGTTTCGGGTTTAGGGTTTAGGGTTTGGGGTTTAGGGTTTAGGGTTTGGGGTTTAGGGTTTAGGGCAACCTTAGACCTTCAACCACAGCCCAGAACCCCTGCAAAAGAAGTCTGCTTGGAGCGTCCGCGTCCGCGTCCCAAGGACGCGTGGCTCTTGCTTGTGGAGAAAATTCAGATGGGGTTCAGGGTTTCGGGTTCAGGCTAGGGTTTCAGGTTTCGGGTTTCGGGTTTAGGGTAGGGTTTCGGGTTGCCTAAACCCTAAACCCTACACCCTAAACTTTACACCCTAAGCCCAAAACCCTAAAGCTCGGGCTTCGGGTTCGGGGTTGAGAGTCTAAAATGTGCCCTAAGCCTTCTAATTTCTCAATCTTATAAACACAAAACCTTATGAAGCTTAACCTAAAGTTGGATACACAGTTTTAGGGTTTAATGAGGGTTAGGGTTTAGGGTTTAGGGTTTAGGGTTTAGGGTTTAGGGTTTAGGGTTTAGGGTTTAGGGTTTAGGGTTTAGGGTTTCGGGTTGAGAGGGGCACTCCTCGAGGTGCGGCTTTGCGGTGCAGGCTCTTGCAGCTTGGGGGTGCAAGATTTTTGGGTTTAGGTTTAGGGTTTAGGGTTTAGGGTTTAGGGTTTAGGGTTTAGGGTTTAGGCTTTAGGCTTTAGGCTTTAGGGTTTAGGGCTTGGGGTTTGGGGTTTAGGGTTCAGGGTTCCCAACATTCTCCTCAACCTAAATCCGAAGCCCTGAGCCTTCAGCAGCGTAACAGTTCCCTCCCAGCGGTTCCGGCATACCGCGTTCGGGCTCAAGCCGTGGGCAGAAGCAGAAACCCAGCGATCTCGCACTCCTCGCATGGTAACAGCAGTGTCCGCAGGTTCCCTTGGGCTAGGGCTTAGTAGGGTTTAGGACCCGAGTTTCGCTGTTCAGGGTTTAGGGTTTAGGGTTGCGTCCACTCCCTTCATGACATGAGAACGAGGGGGCTGTCTGGTTCTTAGACAGGGATTGCAGGGTCCAGGCCGCTTTGTTCTCACAAAGTGCAGGGGGCCCAGCGTCTTGCGATCTTTCCTTTGGCCTCATCCCGGATTCTTTGATGCAGAGAAGCCTCTCGTCTCTGTGGGACGTGGGTGGACGACATGAACCATGAGGCGCCGGGGCGTGGCAGGGCATCTAGGGCCTCAACCCCAAAGGGGTGAGGGCGCTAAACCCCGAAACCCAAAACCCTAAACCCTAAACCCTACCTAAACCCTAAACCCTAAAACCTAAAACCCTAAAACCCTAAATCCCTAAAACCCTAAAACCCTAAAGCCCTAAAACCCTAAATCCCTAAAACCCTAAAACCCTAAAACCCTAAAACCCTAAAACCCTAAAACCCTAACACCCTAAAACCCTAAATCCCTAAAACCCTAAAACCCTAAAACCCTAAAACCCTAAAACCCTAAAACCCTAAAACCCTATAAGCCCTAAACTCCAAAGGGGGTCTAGCTCAGATTCGAGAACCACCGAGCCGCACCGTCTCCCTAAACTCTCAAGCTCTCAAACAGATCTGAAAGCCCTAAACCCTAAACCCTAAACCCTAAACCCTAAACCCTAAACCCTAAACCCTAAACCCTAAACCCTAAACCCTAAACCCTAAACCCTAAACCCTAAACCCTAAACCGGGGACTTAGGGAGCTTGTAAGTACAATTATGATTGGGGCTATAAGTACTCTGAACCTCCAAGTTGTGGGTACCCATTCTATGGCGGCACCCTTTACACAGGGATCCCAAAAAGGGACCCTAATTTAGAGCATCACGCACATAGGTTCAGGGTCTAGGGTTGGGGGAGTAGGGGTTCAGGGTTTAGGGTTTTGGGCTTAAGGGTTTAGGGCTTTGGGTGATGTAGAGTTTCAGGTTTACGTTGTTTAGCAGCAGGCTTCGGCGGCTTCGATTTTGAGGAGGTTTAGGGCTTAGGGTTTACGGTTTAGGGTTTAGGGTTTAGTTTAGGGGTCTTGAAAGATCAGAACCCCCAAGGCCTCAACCCCAAAACCCTGATCGCAACAACCTCCGAGACTCGTCCTAATCCAGCCCTAAACCCTAAACCCTAAACCCTAAACCCTAA